CCAGGGAGGGTCGGGGGGACGCGCCCCCGGGCGGGATGGGGAGCGGGACCCGGTCGGACGGAGCCCAGGGAGGGGAATGGCCCCTTGGACCACGGATCCCCGTCCCTGAGGCCGTTACGGTCCCGCCTGGCCGGCTGTGGGGCTCTGCCCGGGGGGATTCGGGGCAGGTCTCCGACGGGTCAGACGAGACGGGCACAGTGGTGCCTTCTGGCCTTGAAATCAATGAAAGCCTGAGGGGGGCATCAGAGCCCTGGGGGGCGCTGTGGTGCATGCTGGGAGCCGTGCTCCCCGTGGGGGGGGGGGGCGGGGCCCGGGGGGGCGCGCCAGGGTGCTCGTGGGGAGGGATCACAGCCGGGGGGGGGGCGCCGTGGTGCATGCTGGGAGCTGTGCTCCCCGTGGGGGGGATCAGGGCCCCGGGGAGCGCCGTGGTGTATGCTGGGAGTCATGCTCCCTGCGGGGCAGTGTTGGGGTCCCGTGTCTGACCCCCCCCGTGTCTCCCCAGCCCCCAGCAGCCGGCACCGGGTGCTCCTGACCTTCCTGTTCATGGACACGGAGTGCACCTACGACTACCTCTTTGTCTACGACGGCGACTCCCCGCGCTGCCCCCTGCTGGCCAGCCTGAGCGGCAGCACCCTGCCCCCCCCCCTCGAGGCCACCTCCGGCAAGGTGACCCCCCACCCAGGGCTGGCGGGGTGGGGTGTGAGAAGGGGGGAGAGTCCGGGGGAGGGTAGTGGGGTCAGTGGGGGGAGGGGTTGTTGGGAAAGTGGGGGGCTGGGGAGAGTTTGGAGGATGGGGGGTTACTGGGGGCTGTGGGGGGTAGATGGGGGTGACTGGGTGCTGTGGGGGGTAGGTGAGGGGTTGAGGGGTGACTGGGGGCTGTGGGGGGGTAGGTGGGGGGTTGGGGAGTGACTGGGGGCTGTGGGGGGGTAGGTGGGGGGTGACTGGGGGCTGTGGGGGGGTAGGTGGGGGGTGACGGGGGGATAGGTGGGGTGTTGGGGGGTGACTGGGGGCTGTGGGGGGTAGGTGGGGTTGGGGGGCCCGTGTGTTTGACCCCGTCTCACACACCCCAGATGCTGCTGCACCTGTTCAGTGACGCCAACTACAACCTGCTGGGCTTCAACGCCAGCTACCGGGTCTCGCTCTGCCCCCGCGGCTGCTCCGGCCACGGTGCCTGCGAGCCCCACGGCCAGTGCCAGTGTCAGCCTGGCTGGGGGGGGGCCCGACTGCGCCGTGCCCCACTGCGACAGCTACTGCCTGGGCCACGGGGCCTGTGACCAGGTGAGACCCCCGAGCCCCACTGCCCCCTGATCTCCCCTGAGCCCACTGCCCCCCTGAGCCCCACTGCGACGGCTACTGCCTGGGACACTGGGCCTGCCACCATGTTAGATCCCTGAGCCCCACTGCCCCCACCACCAGGTGAGTGAGACTCTCCCCCCACGGCTCCCTCTCCCCTGTGAACGGAGGGATGGGCCAGGACCCGGGGCTGGGGGTCTGCGAGCCGGGACCCTCCGTCCATCTGTCTGTCTGTCCCCGCAGGAGTCCGACCGGTGCCGGTGTCAGCCAGGCTTTGTGGGCGAGGCTTGTGACCTGGCGCTGGGCGAGAACCAGGGTGCCGGGCGCTGGTACAACGTGAGCTCCGGGGACCCCCACTTCCGACCCCGCACGGCTGCTGCTGGCGCCGTCCTGCCCCCCACCGGGGCGTTCTACATCTTCGGGGGTCAGAGACACCGCCGCCACGGGGGTTGGGGCACAGTGGGGGGTGCATGGTGGGTGGGGGATGCAGTGAGGTTGAGGGGAAGTGGGGCAGGGTAGGGGTGGGGGTGGGGGTACAGGGGGGTAGGGTGGGAGGAGTTGGGGTAGGGGTGGGGACAGGAGTGCAGGGGGGCAGGGTGGGTGGGGGGTGCAGTGGGGTTGAGGGGAGGGGGGGACGGGTGCAGGAGGGCTGAGGGGAGGTAGGGTAGGGGTGGTGAGGAGGATGCAGGGGGGTGAGGCAGGCGTTTGGGGCCCCCCCTCACAGCTGCTCTGCTCCCCAAGGGCTGGACCTGAACACGGCGCTGGGCGACCTCGTCATCTACAACTTCACCTCCAACCTGTGGCAGCGCCGGGTGCTGAGCCCCTCCCCGGTACGTGCCCCCCCACGCCCCTCCTCCCCGGTACGCCCCCCCCGTGCCCGCCCCGCGCCCCTCCTTCCTGGTACGTCCCCCCCGTGCCCCTCCTGTGCCCCTCCTCCCCGGTAGGTTCCCCCCATGCCCCCTCTGTGCTCCTCCTCCCCGGTATGTCCCCCCCCCGCTGGGCCCAGCCGAGCGGCTCCCCAGCACCCTCCCCCACAGCGTGCGCCCGGCCTTGCCCGGCCCACTCCCGCGCGGCTCAGAGACGCAGCGTGTCAGAGCGCTGGGGTGAATCCGGCACCGGCAGCTCAGCCGGGAGTTCCCGGATCCGCGCGCGGGGCTGGTCAGACGGGTACGGCAAACCCGGGGCCGTGTCTACATGGCAGAGTTTGGTTCACGAGTTACGCTGCGTCCCCACGAGCTCCCTGTGCCGGCAGAGCCCGGCGGGGACCTACCCACCGTGCGACGGGCCGCAGGGGCTTGGGGGGTGGGGGGCTGCAAAGCCTCACGGGGCAGGGCCAGCCTCACGGGCTGCATCATCCCCTGGCAGCCGCTTGGCAACTGACGTGTGAGACGGGAGTGAGTGTGTGTGTGTGTGGGGAGACGGAGTGTGTGTGGGGGGGCGAGTGTGTCAACACGCCCTCTCTGTACGGTCACACAGCAGCCGGAACAGCCAGTCCTGGGGAGGGGGACCCCCCCCACAGCACAGTGGTCTCGCCCCGCCGCTGTGCCAGGAGATCAGGATCCCACATCCATGCTTCGCCGCGTTCTCCCGGCGCGCCCCCCGCAGCGGCTCTGAGCTCTCCAGGCCGGGGCTCCGAGTGCGGGGAGG